CTGGACAGTGCCAGAGGGTAATTTTGCTGGCCTCTAAATAGAAATACCAAAAGAGAGCTGACCCTGGGGCACATTGGGTCAAAATGGTTACCAACATCTGGTTGTGGATGGAAAAAAAACAAAACAGGACTTAACCTTCTAATACATGGAGGTCAGAGTGCTTTAAAAGTTGAACCATTACGTACTTTTGTATGTACTTCTGCCATGTATATGCTAATGCTGTGCATTCATAACTTTGCTGTGTGTTGAACCTCCAAATCCTCTTCATTACGGAATCAAATAGGCATCTCTGCCCTCAAACAGCTTATACGCTAATGGGGGGGTGAGAGACGGAGATAGACAATAAACAAAATAAATCAGTACATTATAGCATATTAGAGGTGGTATATGATGTGGAAAAAATAACCAACGAAAGGGGAGTGGGAAGGCTGAAATGTGAAATATGGCAGTCGGCTAAGTCCTTACTAAGAAAGTGATATTTGGGCAGAGGTGGGAGAGAGATAGAGAGTGAGACACAAGGATATCTAGGAAAAGAGCATTCCAGGCAGAGAGGAAAGCAAAGTGCAAAGCCTCTGAGCTGAAACTGTGCTTAGCTTACTAGGAGGTCAGCATGCTGGAGGGATGTGAGTGAGGAGGAAGGAAGTAAGAGAGAAACTAAAGGAAGAAATGGTAGGAGGAGTAGGGATGCCAATGGGATGGTGCAGGGCTTACAGGCTATTGAAAGGGCTTTCACCTTGACTGTGTGAGATGGGAGTGCCGGAGGACTGAGCACAGGTGGTGGACATTATATAACGTATATTTTATGAGGACCATCCAGCTGCAGTCTTGCCCAGAGACCAAGCAGAGGCAACATTAATAACGCAGCCAAGAGATCATCATGGCTTGAATGAGAATGATGGCAGAGGAAGAGGTGAGAGATGCCCAAATATGCATATATTTTGAACTAATTCGATTTTATGGAAAATTAACCATAAAGTATACAAGAGAACACTAAGAATGACTCTTAGGGTTTGGTCTGAGTAACCTGGAAGGATGAATATACCCTTTACTAAGATGGGAGAGACTGTCGGAATAGTTTGAGAGGGAAAATTAGATGTTTAGTTTTGGACATGATTGCTGTGAGATCATATTGAGCATCTAAGTGGAGATATTAAGTAGGCCACTGGCCACATGGGTCAGGAATTCAGGTCCATGATAGAGATATATATTTAGGAGTCGTCAACCCTGGGTTTAAACCATGAAACTCATGGAGATCACCTGGGGAATAAGTGTCAATAGAAAAGAATTCCAGTGACTGAGCTATGGGGCATTCTGACTTTGAGAGGAGGAACAAGCAATATAGTAAGAAGGATCAATTTAATTTTGTCTGCTTTTATTGATGACCTGCCATATGCCAGCACTAGGCTAGGAGCTGGGCTTACAACTAATGAGACTAGTCCAGGCCCTCAAGGAGCTCACAGTCAGTGCATTAAAAATCACTTGAATGCAGTGTGGTAACTGCGAAAAGATGTGCACCTGGTAATATGGAACTAGGGAGAAGGAACTCCCAGGCTGGGAGGGCTACAAGGGTCCTTGGAAGAAATAACACTTGTAATTTAAGGAGTCACCAAAAGTTAGCTAGTCGAAGAAGGGGGTAGGACAGAAGGGTAAAACAGTCTGGAACATGCTGAAAAATACACATTTATTTGGTGCCAACATCTCTGCCTGTGAAAATAACTCAGCCCTCAAGTCCTGAGAGACACTTCATACTAACACAAACATAGATAACGCAGTTGACAAATTAGTTGCTCTGGCTACACTACTGCAGTCTGGTTGAAGAAGTTTGGGGTCAACCTGCTACCAACCTCAATATCTTAAAATACCAGGGAGTGCCTCTGTCGCAGATCATGCATCTGTAGCTGTGACAGTACAAAGTCTCCCCATCAGCAGTTAATTCTGGGTTGCAGCCGAGACCATATGGTGGTTCCATTTTTTATTGGTCTTTGTTTTCATTGTAAAGTGAGTGTGACAAGCACAGGGTGTTCCTAGCAACAAATTGGACTGTGGCTGAGAGGAATTGCTCCTCAGGGAAGCAGAGGGGCAGTCACCTTGACAACGCCCCTTTCCATGTCAAAGAGCCAACTGCACTAGACAACCCAAAGCAAGACAGAAAAAAAGTGCAGTTGTAAAAGGCTTTACCTAGGAGCTCATTCTGCAGCAGGGTGTTTCTTTTCTTTTCTTTTTTCTTTAAAGATTTTATTTATTCATTTTTAGAGAGGGGAAGGGAGGGAGAAAGAGAGGGACAGAAACATCAACCTATGTGTGGTTGTCTCTTGCGCGCCCTCTACTGAGGACCTGGCCCACAAGCTAGGCATGTGTCCTGAGTGGGAATCAAACAAGTGACCCTTTGGTTCATAGGCCAGCACTCAATCCACTGAGGCATACCGGCCAGGGCCAGCAGGGTGTTTCTTAAGGACAGATGTGTCCAAGTCAAGTTTCCCCACTTGTTTATCTTTTTGTAAGTATCAAGGTCTGCAGCTTCCCTTGCTCCACTTGTGGGCTAACTCTAACTCCAGGCATTTACTTCCCAAAGCTGTCAGTCTGCAAACTTCTTTTTGTGTCCTTGACCATCATGCTAATTAATGCCAGTGTTTTCCTACATTTTTTTCATTCCTCCCCAACAGAGCTACCATCACTTATCCACATTTATGCCAATCCACTGAAGGTACCCTCAAAGGAACCAAATCTCACAATAGAGACAATAAGGTATATTTTGGGAGCATCTGCAAAGTGCCAGTCAATTCATGCTGTACCTAAGGCAAAGCTAGCACACACACACACACACACACACACACACACACACACACAAAAGCAAAGATAATGCCAAAACCATATGCAGCTATTATTACAACAGAAGTGTCTTTGCAAACAACAATAGCTAACACACATGCTTACTATGGGCCAAGCACTGTTCTAAGCATTTTTACATCTATTTAACATATTTAATCTTTAAGACAACCTTGAGTTAGGTATTATTATTATTTTATGGATAAGGAAACTGAGGTCCAGAAAGATTAAATAATCTAAGTTTCCATGGAGCTACCATTTACATCTGGAATCTATGGCTACTCTTAACCCCCAGGCTACTGTGGGTTTTCAGGACCCAGGTGCTTTTCCAGTACTTATATTTAATATTATGGATGTTTAGTGTAAGAAAGTATCTGGAGTATCTTAGTCCATGTCCTATAGAACAAGTCAATACCACACATATTTAGCATAAGAAATTAATTTGGAATATTTTAGAATATGATTTCAGTTATTTGGCTCTGTGTATATGTGTTTTGATTTTTTCCTATTTTTTTAGACCAAGGGTAGTATCTTACATAGAATAAAAAATGTATTTTTACAGTGATTCACCACTTTATTATAGTTCTTTTTGCTACAAATAACAGAAAACCCAACTGGAGCTGGAATAATAACAAGAACTTTTATGGCGCCACTAACAGTAAATCCAGAGGTAATGTGTGTCCACAATCAGCCACATGTCTAAAGTCACCCCAGTTTCCCCCAAGGAGAATGAGACCACCATGCTCTAGACCAACCTGCATTCATCCCCTCAGCTCACAGACTAGTTCCACGTGAGTTCCCCAGCCACACCTGGGCCGACAGCGGAGAGAGTCAACGACAACCATTGTCTCCCTCCCAGAAAGTGCATGGAGTAGGCCACGCCACTGCACTGCAGCTCAGTTTTTTCTTTCATAAAGGCATAGTCAGTACCAAGAAGTAAAAGAAGGTTCATCTTCTTTTTACCAAAATACTTAACTTTTGTCTCAAGCCTGAGTTCTATTGGTGGTTGCTGACATGTCCAAGGGTGATAGCTTTAGTCAGAAGGGAAGACAGCGGGGGAGAGAGGGAGACAGGTGGAACAGGGAAAACTCATGAGCTTAGAGGAGCCGAGCCCAGGTCCCCAGGCAGGAACACACAGATCTTTTGCTCTTCCTCTGCGTCAGGCTCTCACTGGTGCCTACAAGTTCAACGGTATTATTATCCACTTTCATGCATAGTAAAACTGAGCCTCAGTGAGGGAAGTTGGTGTGACTACGGTTTGAATCCCCACAGTGTGATTCTGGTGTCCTTGCTTTGTCACTATGATGGTTTCTCTAAATGTAATACTATCCGCATCAGACCTACCTGGAACACTTACTTACAATAAAATTCCCAGCTCCAGGTCAGACCTCATTCATCGAACTTTCTGTGGACAAGGCTCAAGGGCAGGCAAGTGAAGAGCATTCCTCATACTAAGGTTAAAGAATGAGTGGATGACAATCTATTACTTCCCATCCTTGTTCTTGTTTTGGATAAGCCCTTGTTTCTCCTTGGGCCTCAGTTCCATCACTTGCAAAATGAGGATGGTTAGGTGACTTCCATTTCAAAAAGTTCAATTTGAAATCATCCTTAATCCCAAATACCTGACTGCACCCTACCAACTGACTCTTTTCCATCTTCTTATCTTTATATATTAATATTATCAAGATGATATTTTAAGTGTCATACAATTTATAATTTGATGCACAAATTTTCATGGAGCTCCCCTGGAAATCCAGAAAAACTAGTGTCCTTTCAAGTGGCATATTGGAAGGTCAGCCATCCCTAAAGTAAACCACTTCTTTCGGTCTTCCTGTATTCTTGGGAGTTTTTCACTTTCTGGCTTTTAGGCACTTCTAGGGATAAAGAACTCATTGATAATTTAAATTTTCTTCCCCCTCTGAAATCAGTCTAATTAGGGAGACATCTTTCCAAGGTTTCAACCCAGCATCCTACATCCATCATTAGCTCTAGCCCATTTGGGGTTGCTTTGGTTTCAGTTTTCTGATGTTTTTCTTTGGAGAAAGGAAAGCAAGAACTAGGGGCATTGGCCAAACAAGTCTGGCCACTCAGTGGAGAGGTTTCCAGATAAGAAGGATCTGAAGGACTTCCCATGGGCGTGAGGGAAATCGCACACGCCATCCGGCTAAGAAGACCAGGAAATCACTTCTTGTTTTCCAGACAGCAGCAGGCCCTCAGGAATGGCTCTGTGAAGCTCAGAGGACCTGGGCAGGGAGGCACCAGTCAGAAGGGAGGTTGAGCTTGGAGGGGAGCTGCCCACGCCTCACAATGAGTCCTGCTCGGCTGTTTCTTCAGTGGGTATGAGGCCTTAGAGGAAACTGAAGGGCAAATGGCCTCGTAACGGAAACCTGGAAGCTTTTAGGTGTCTGGTTACAGCAGAAGCCCGTCTGGGGACAGCAGGAACCCATCTGGAGACTTCGGTGCTGGACAGGTAACAGGCATTTCTCCTCCTGTGGTCAGTCTCCTTTGGCAGCAAGACCTCAGTCGCTTTGACACTCTTTTTTAAGGCATCTTCCTAAAGTCATTTACCTCTTTGATTTTCTGTTTTATAGTATATGTGCAGCTGTGCCATGAATGTTGAGAGTGTAAATCATGTGTGGTCAAGAGCATTGTGCAGCCCGTTGGTTAAGCTGAGACTGTGGTTAGGGAGATTGAGTATCAGGTGTTAACTGGGATCTTTTTAGATAATAGAGTTTTCTCCTTCTCCCTTTTTTAAATGAATTTTCCCATCTCTGGGCCAGAAAATAGCATAAAGACCAGAGCATTCATGAATCACTCCGTGAGAGTCTCCATAGCCAGGCGGCCATGTTTCAGTGGTGCTGATGAAGGGGGCGCCAGCACCGGTGTTATAGCCAGAGCTGGGGTATTCTGTCCACTCATCCCAGGGCAAGGGATGATCTCTGAAAGGTAAAATGTCTTCAATTGCCTCCCACCCATTGCCCGAGGGGACAGGAGTTCACAGTGGACGTGGGGAAGAAAGTCAGGAGGAGTGCGGGGGTTAAGAGCTGGGCAGACCTGACTTGAGCATTGTAGAAGGGAGGAGAAGGTTTCTGATGTGTGGCTTGCTGAAACCATGTTCTCTTATACATTGTAGAAAGCCGTGCCATGCCACTTCACTGCAGCTGTTTTTCTTTTCATAAACAGCTCATGTTTTGGGTCTTTCATTTTTGAGTTATACAAGTAGTACTACATGAATGCATCTGTGCTCTAACAGAATATCTCCAACAGTTTTTCAAGTACCCCCGCCCCATTGCATTGTTTTTTCCCAGCCCCTGAACTAGTCCATCAATAGTTTGCTGTGTATCTTACCAGTTAAATGGCTTTCTCGCTCTCTTCCCAGTTTTTAGGACAAGCTAGGGCACAGAGGAGCACAATGAATTTTCATTGTCAAATTTATGTATTGATCCGTGACAACACCTTTTCACCGGAAAGATAAACTGAAACATGGAGAGTATGAACAACTCTTTTAACACTTAAAAAAAGCCTGAAAGAGTTTTATTCATTCTTACCATTATTATTTTGTGTTGAATTTGGCTTTGGCAATTAATAATGTCTATAACAACTTCCCATGGATTAAACTCTAGATTTGGCAACTTGAGGTTTGGGCTTCTCTCTTGAAGACTATCAAAGGCAGCCTTGTTCTGAAAGAAAAGAAAAGAAAAGGGGGGAGTGTAAATCATGTGTGGTCAAGAGCATTGTGCAGCCCATTGGTTAGGCTGAGACTGTGGTTAGGGAGATTGAGTATCAGGTGTTAACTGGGATCTTTTAAGTGGGGGGAAGAAAAGAAAATTAAATGGATAGATAGATTGATACATAGATCCTTAGATTAAATGGTTGGCCCAGGGAAGATAAGGTGAGGGTGGAAGACACTCCTTTTTCATTTAATGGATAATAAATGTGTTTAACAGATGGGTTTATTTTTATCTCTTTTAGTCTTCTGTAAAAAGGTGGCCTTTTATCCCTCTTTTCCCCCATACATTGTTATGAGACAAGTGAATAAAAAAATCGCTATTAACAAGTTGCTATGCCTCATGGAAAGAAAGTACAACTAAGCAATGCCAAATCCAAGAATAATTACAAAATACTTTCAGTTGCTATTTGGTATTTTCTTGTCCTTATCAAGGACCCCAAACTCAAGGGTCACCTGTCCCTGCTGATTTTGGACAATTGGTGGTGATTTCTTAACCATCCTGTTAAACTTGCCTGCCCAATGCTTCTCCCAGTCCCTGGCTAATGTGATTCATCACTTTACCTTACTACAGAGGTCTGGCCCCAGACAGAGACTTCCTGTTCTTTCACCATGTCACAGGTATAGCAGGCATCTTATTCCCGTTTTATGCAATAAAAACATGAGAGATTCAGAGATTATTTGCCCAGTAACATACAAGGAATCCTTCTGGGGCACTTGAGATGAGAAGAAACCCAGATCTCTGACTTTGCAGCACCATTCTTGGCCCGCAATACGAGGATAAAAGTCCTGTGGAATAGAAAATTAACATGATTGGCTGGATTCTGGCAGCTTTGTGACAACACAGAATCCAGTTTTGCTGGGAAACTGTGGCTAGATCAAGCTATTGCCTGGTCCATGTTGTAGCAGATTTTAACACCTGCTGTCTACACGCATCACTGCAGAAACCTAACACCCCAAAAGAACAATGCCCAGACACTTTCCTGGAGCAACTGAATCAGACTATCTGGGGAAGGGGCATGGGAAGGGACTTACTCATTTTAATCTCTGAACAGGTTCTTTTATGCAGCTAGGGTTGAGAACCACTGAGTCCTAACTGCAGCAGATAAAATAGCTCATCTGAGAAGCAGAAACAGTACCCGTTCGTGCAGCTTACAGTTAGGGGCAGAAGTGCCAGCAGCTGTGAGCATCATGTAATAGGTTCGGGCTGCTGCTGTTTATAAAAGGAGCAGACACTCCTCACAACTGCATGTGACAATGAATTTTCCAGCTCTCCTGATCATGGATGGTCCTGCCTTTCGAGTTTAAATGGGAACAATCGCACTGACCACTGCAGATGCTTTGGCTCCTGCTACTTGCGTATTTTACAAAATCAGATTAAATGTTCTAGGTAAACAGGATGCGCTTTTCTAGCGCCAAGTGACTATGGAGGTTATAGATTTTATTCAATGTCACTTTAACATGTTTTGTCCCAATTCCAAGAAAAAGGGGGAGAAGAAATACTAATTATGCTTTGCTGATCTGCTACTTTCTGGATTGATCTAAATATGGGCAATCAATCAGGGCTGTTTTTAATCATAAAATGTGCCCCTAGAATCTTTCCACCCCAACATTTCTTGATAAAGTTTGTTAGTATGGTTCATCGGTGTAATTTTTCCTCCTTTAGAAGCACCAGGAGGGACTCTCTCAGCCTCTCCAAGTTTCCTTTTGCGCCTATGAGTTTTGGCACAGAATAGGTGTTAAAAGAAAGGCTTGTTGAGTTAAATATCTGTGTTGCTGTGGCTACTTTATGAATTCACAGGTCATTTACAAGCTCAGCATTTCAGCCCACATTGTATGACTCTGGCCATAATGGTTAAAATAATTAGAATCTTGCCTATTTCCTAAAAGATAAATACAACAGTGAAACCTTTAAAATCACAGCTTAGTGGAGGTACCTTCACTGGAGAGACTTGCTAGGGGCTGTAGAATTAAAAGGGCAAAGCCTTTTCCTTTCCTTTAATTAGCTTATACTCTTAACAGGAGGCAAGGCATGGACATTGAACATTCTAATAACAGGTAATAATTATTGAGTGCTTATTCTGTGCTCAGTGCTCTACAAAGGTTAACTCATTTAATTATTCCAGTCATCTTATGTCTCAGGTGCTATTAAAATGCCCATTTTATAGATGCAGGGGCCCTATTTTAAGTTGCCTGAGACACACAATGCTGGCAAATAGTAGAGTCAGGATTCCAGCTCAGACAGTCTGATTTGAGTCCATGCACCTAATTACCATCCTGTGTTATAAAAGCCACAACAGTACTGCAGAGAGACCCACATGGCAGGGCTGGAGCTGCATCTGAGGAGAGAAATGCAGTGTATGCAGGGGAAAGATGTATCCCTGGGGAAGACAGGAAAAGAGGCAGCATGCTATAAAGGTGGAGGGTTCAGGCTTTGGCAGCAGACTCAGCTATTTACGGTGTGACCTGCGTATCTTATTTAATTTACTCAAATTTCAGTTTCTTCCTCTGTAAAGTGGGGATGATAGCTCTAACAATATAGGATTGTAAGGATTAAATGAGCCGTTAGGCTCAGCAGGCAAAGTGCTGAGCCTAATGCCCTACACACAGCAAGGGCTTGATAAATAATAGTAATTGTTGTTACCGAGTGAGCAGAACCTGAAATGATAAGTCAGGTGAGGCTCAACAAGGAGGAACAGAGCATTCCAGCTGCCAAGAAGAATATGAGAAGAAGCTGAGATTTACCAATTTATTCACCATTATTTATTATTAGAATTTGTGATGTATTTTGCAAAGGAAGGTACAATGTAAACTTGTGAGCAGGTGAGACTGCTTTGTATCCCAGCGTTATGCAAGAAACGTGTGGCACACCTGGGTGTACATTAGGTTGTGGTGGTCATGCTTGCCAGGTGAATTAGCCCAAATATTCTCTGGCCATTTGAGAAGTGCTAAAGTATCTGAATGTGGTATGGTAGCAATCTATGAAAAATAGTGGCCTAGACAAACTAATCAGCTGGTAGTACGTTGGGTTATCAGGCAGGAAAGAAAGGAAGGAGAGAGTCCATTGAGGAGATCACTGCAATCGTCCAGGCGTGAGATGATCATGTCCAAGCCAATGTGGTGGCGGAGGAAAAAAACACATCAGCAGTGGAGTCATGAACAGGGCTTAGTGACTGGGGGACTGACTGTCCTCACTTGTGCCCCAATTCTTGTGTACAAGAACACCTGTGGGGTTGTGAGCCAGGAAACTGGAGAGTGAAGCCAGCTGTTGGTGAATCCAAGAAGAGCTGGGTTCGGAGATCACAGTGGAAGAGAATGAGACATGCTTAGTGCTAGATGAGCTGAATTTAGGCCCAGCTGGAAATAGAACAGTTGGAGAGAAGCTCCTAATATTTAGCAAGGAGATCAGGGTGGAAATACAGTTTTGGGAATTGTCACAGAAATTGATAATTAAAATGGCAGCAGTAGGCAAGCTCTCTGAGAGAAAGGGTGTCAGGAGAGGTAAATCAAGGGTCCAGGACAGGTCTTGGCAGGCTCACAGTGAAGCGTGGTAGAATGAGGAAGATGGAATCACAGGAGGAAGGGGGTAAGGAGCAGAAAGTGGAGCAATGAGAGACCCAGGAAAGGGCAAGCGAGATAACACAAAGGAGGTGCTAAATGGCGTCAGAAACCAATAGGAAATCCAGGAGGCTGAGGATTGGTGAAGAATTTTATTTGGTTTGTCTTTATAAAATACTTTCCAT